AAAGAAAGAAAGAAAGAAAGAAAGAAAGAAAGAAAGAAAGAAAGAAAGAAAGAAAGAAAGAAAGAAAGAAAGAAAAAAATGACAAATGCAGATTTTGTTGCTCGGCTAAGACCTCCAAAAAATGTTCCATCAACAAAAATGCATGCTCATGTAGCCTGAATTTATTAGACAAAATGAGTATTTTCAATTGGGAAACGTATACTGAACTTCGTACACACTATGTTTTGAAAAGGTATAAATCAGACTTTTGACATAAGGGGAAATGTTCCGAATACAATGATGTGATGAATTCATTTCAGCTGCTCCAGCGTTGCAGTCCTAGCCATCTCTAGATTTATTACTCTTCTGTTACAGTTCCAGCAGTAGGCATATATTTGTCTCACTAAACATGCCTCCTTTAATCCTTTTTATCATCAAAAATACATACATTTCACCCATCAATCAACCATCTGGCCAGTTTTACCAAACAGACTCAATTAATCCTTGCTTGGGACAGCAAAAACCCAAAAGCAGAACTCAGCACAATTCATCTCCATCCTTTTGAAAAGATCTGAATACACACTACTGGCTCGTCTGTCAGAGTGTATTACATTTCAATTTGTAAAATAACTATATAACAAACATGCATTAAATTGTTTATGGTTGCTATTCCAATTTTCAAACAGATTATGATGTAATTTCACAAAATACTCAATCAATTTCCAACAGATTTACTGACAGCAGGTCCAGTCTAGGACTCAGGAGGGCTGTGGTCAGTTATTTCCCCTTGGGATCAGATGCAGTAACACAGTTAAGCTGTGGGATACGTGGTCAAAGTTATTCCAGTACTGCTCCACAGATTGTTCAAACTTTGTACCTGAAGAAGTGAAGCAGCCTCGATGGTAAAAGGGTATGAAAGTAATGAGATACAGGTTACGGTTGAGTAAACATTTGTAGAAGATGACAGTATCTGTAGGGCTTTGACTTCTGTACTTTGATCTCTGCTGCTGTCAGCCAGCTTCCTGTGAGTCAAATACGTAGTTTCAAAGCATCTGCGAAGCAATGCTAAGTCAATATTGGACAGTGTTGGACATGCTTTAGTCATCCTGTTTTAGAATACTGCATGAGGCTAAATAGTGTATACTAATTAAGCAGTGCTAGCATCTACTGAGCAGCCATGCCACATTTTAATTCGGCAATGTAACACTTGACAGCAAAGTATTAAATGGAAAATAATATCATCGTATGTAAGTAAGTGAAATGCACTTAAATTGAGAAGCGTTGATTTGCAACATCTTTACAACCAAAAGTTTTAATGGAGAAAATTGCTACACAGAAAAATGAAAGAAGACCATGTTATATTTATAAGTAGTCCAGCAAACTGATAAACTTATAAAACATTTTGCAGCAACCAAACCTCATTAGGCCTGGCTAAATAAAGCGCACTGAACAGATGATCACCTGCCACCCAAAATATCACCAGAAAAATCAGTGATAATTTCAGTAAGTTATAAAACAAAAGCAGAACGCGAACCCCATCTATCATGTATTCACACAGATTAATTTCTCCTTTGATTGAATTTTCTCCAATATTCATGAAGGCATAAAACCAAGTAGTAGTAAAGCGGGGCTTTACAGCAAAGACCAACCAGGGACTCCCCTCTCCCCGCTGTGACACCTAAGCGGGATCCCTACCTCGTCCTAGGAAACCAATAGTAACTTCATTTTGAATCAATAATCAATATATATGCAATGAACAGACATGAAGTCTCCTTAAAATTCTGAGACCCATGGAGCGTAGAAAGAAAAACATCCACCCAATTTTGTAACCGCTTATTCCCTAATGGGGCCGTGGGGGACTGGAGCCTAAGCACACTCACACTCACTCCTAAGGGATATTTGGAATGTCCAATCAAGGTAACATGCAGGTTTTTGGACGATGGGAGGAAGCCGGAGAACCCGGAGAGAACCCACGCAGACACAGAGATAACATGCAGACTGCACACAGAAAGGTCCTGGTTCCCCGGGGGAATCGAAACCCAGAACCCTCTTGCTGTGAGGCTAACCACCACACCACCGTGCCGCCGAAAGAAAAACTGTAATTTGTATTTTCACTTTGTCCTCCTCCATCCACACAATTTTACTTGTTGACAACATTGATCTCGAACAAAAGGTTGCTGCAAGAAAACTGGAACTGGGGGAACAAAAGAATGTCAAAGACGGGTATTTATTTTTCAAAATGTAGCAGTTCTGATGGATAATGCTCTGTAAAATGAAGAGCAGCTGCCACATTCAAAAAGTTGACCTGAATGTTTTCACTTTCATGAAGACATAAGCAATACCTGAAGCATAAAAGTAACACATAGACACATTAGAGCGGATAAAACGTGTTAGAACTGGGACGCATTCTCAACAGCTTAGTCCAACCTACTAAAAAAGTACACAGAGCAAACAAGAATAAAAAAAAGAGCTAATCTTGTCTCAGAGGTAAGAATGTTTTAAACAATAAACATCAATCACACAGACTGCATAGTTTATACGTTTTACACCCTGCCAAATCGCACAAACACCTCAAATCTCACTGTGAGCAAAGCTGCAGTGGCAGACTGACAGGCAACAAACTTAGTGTGACAGATTCTAAAATCGTATTAAAGTAAATGGAAATGCAGTTTAAAAGGAAGATGCAAACACAGAGAAGAAAAGGTGGGAGAAGGAGGGGTGGTTGGATTAATTTGAGTGTTTGGACTTGAAAACCTGACAGACTAAAGATGACTTTTTGTGGGGTCAAAATGTCAAATTTCACGTCAACATATTTATCATAAAAGGTAAAAAATTATGATTCAGGTTTAAACTAAGAAAGCAAATATATGTTCAAACACAAGAAGGGAGTTCTACCCGAAATAAATCATACTGGAATCTATTTACAGCACATGTTTATCCATCAACTGAAACGATGTGTGCCATGAAAGCGAACAGAAATCATTAACATATTCCATGAACTGATGACCACCTCTCATTACAATGGGACTGTTT